AGGAGATAAAATGGAGTCTGTAAGTACCGAAAGGAACAAGCAGGACACAAGCAGGAGTAATCTGCCCTTTCAGCAGAGACAGACAGTACATAACAATTCAACGAGTCAAGGCAATGTCAAGACAAAAGAGGAGGATACAAAGGAATAAATTCTTTACTGTGAGGGTGGTGAGACACTGGCACAGGTTGCCCAGACAAGTTGTGGCTGCCCCATCCCTGGAAGTGTTCAAGGTCAGGCTGGATGGGGCTTTGAGCTTTGAGCAACCTGGTCTAGTGGCAGGTGTCTCTACCCATGGCAGGGGGTTTGGAACTAGGTGATTTTTAAGGTCCTTTCCAACCCAAACCATTCTCTGATTCTGTGACTGATGTGCTGGGACACTTTGAGAAGGTGTTATTACACAGTCTGTAACACCACAGCTGGATATGGACCTGTAGAAGTGTTGTTCTTAAAGTAATAATCACAATACAAATAAAATAACACATTTGGATCTGGGAAGGTTGACAGCAGTACAGCAATATGGTGGTATGGTGCTGTGCTGAGAAAGGGACAGGTTGGCATCAGGGGAGCAGCACAGGACCAAAAGGGTGGGGGCTGGTGGGATAACAGATCATTTCGGTTTCTGTGTGGGGGCTGCAGTTTAGCTTCAGGGTACTTTTTCATTTTTATTATTTTAATCTACACTCCCTCTAAAACTGGTTCAGCTGAATGGGCAAGTATGTGACATTAATGAGATTCCTGAAATCTTAGTAAGAACTGTGGTGAAAACCGAGCCTGGCTGCCAGAAGCAGATGTATAGCAAGCAGGACATGGTGTGTGTCTTGGTGCTATCAACCAGGCAGGTCCATGGTTAAGAACTAGAGGGATTCCCTTTCAAGCAACACATGTAAATTCTCCATCCCAGGCAATGTATCTCTACTGGGCTCCGTAAGTAGAGGAGACTGTATTTCTGTGAATATTTTTCCCATCTTGAGTAATTGTCTTATGTCAGAGAGAGAGCAATAAATGGTTTTGGATGCACTGGACATTAAAAACAAACATTGAACCACGGTCAAGATGCAAGAATAAACAGGAACTTGAAAGAAGCTCTTGATCATTATAAGCAAAATGTATGTCTAGTTCTCCTCAGCCTGGGAGGAGCCAGACAAGTTGCAGAAATGAGGATTGTTGGAGTTAGGTGGAGAGAGACCTGCTTTTTCTGTCAACATTTCTTACAGCACTTGATAAAGATCTGTGCTGTACTTGAGGACATCCCAAAAGTTTGAAAAACAATAAGGGTAGAACAAGGAGTTTGCATGATTAACTCTCCTTCTCTCACTTATCAGGGCTGCCTTCCAGCCAGGGTTCAACGTTTTTCATGGTCTGCCAAATCTTTGCAAATGATCTCATGGACATGACCTCTTCTTCTTGGAGTCTTGCAGCTTCCCTCCAGCAAGCACTGCGGGGACGGCATTGGGAAAGCAGCGATAACTCTCTGGCTGCTCTGCCAGGGCTTTGGAAACTTGGTGTGTAAAGTTGTGCTTAGTGCACACTTGTCCCTTCTGAAAAGCGAACAAAGGCAAACACAGGTACTAATGTTAGGCAGCCAGCCAACACAGTAGACAGTTGCCTAGGGCAGCAGACTGTTGAATGCAGCAGAATGCCAAGGCTTTACAAAGATGCAGGCTTGCTGCTGCTGCTCTCCCCTCTAAGAAGCCAGCATTAGACCTTTCATCTGAGGGTTGAGATTAATGTCCAATTTTCAGGTGACAGCTCCCTCTTTGTCCCAGGTGATCCTCAGCGATCTGGGTACAAGCATCAGACCTGCAGTGCTCGTGCCACAGAGTGGCTGTCTTTGAGTGAGCCAGGCCTGCTGAAAGGGGTGGGATGGGGCCTTCTTCAGCAGAAGCAAGGCAGACCCTGGTTTTGGAGCTCTTTCTATTGCCCCTTCTTCCCCTGCTGTATCAGGAGTGCTCTGATTTGGTGTGAGTGGGCTGCTGCAGGGGAGGGATGGTTTGGAATGAAAGTGGGAGTCACTTGGGTGATGGTGAGTGAACAAAGATGATGTCCAACAGGAGTGATCTGCCAGGCATGAGGTTGGGCTCTTCTGGATCTGAGACAGGGGTTACCAGGGGAGAGAAAGGCAGATGAGACCAGCTTTATCCAATGCCTTCTCAATACCTGTTAGTGTAGTGATCCTTTTCATGTCACTTGTATGGAGCCATCCCAAAATCCTGCTCACTTCTAGCCTCCTTCCCCTGAAACCCTAAGCCCTCATGACCCTTCCAGCATCTCAGTCATTCATCTGGGATTACCCACCAGCAGCTCCTTACCCCCCTCTCTTAAGTGATGCTTCACTGACTCCATTCATCCCAGCCCACCAGCAGCCCCGCTTTACCTCACCTCTCATCTGGACTTCTCCTACCCAGCCCAGCTTTGGCAAACATCCTCACCAGAGCTGCTTGAACCAGCTCTGCAGTTGGGTTTAAAAAATAACCCAAACATGGAAAGCTCGCTTTCAAGATTTAGGTGGCAAGTAGAAACTGGCACAGGGAACAGTGATAGGCACTATTCAGACCACCAGCCAAGTGTTGTGCAGCTTTTGGTCTGGAAGTTGCTGGCTGAGCTAAATCCCTCCAACAGCACCTCAGCTGCTATTACCACTTTATCTGAAGTCATAAACACAGGCAGTGAAGAAATTATTTCCAGCTTCTTGAAAAGGACTCACTTCCATGATTTGCATCTAACTCAATGGCAGTCACTCTTGCCAGCAGCAGAATTTAGGCCAAACTCAGAGCCTCAGACCTTTCCTGCTGAAGCATCTCCTTTCATTGTTGCCTGTGACAGGATATTAGGTTGGCTGGATAAGTGGTCTTATCCCATAAGGCAATTTTTATGTCTCGTGTTTCCTACTAAGATCATTGCCTTGCTTGTACCTGTTGGAAAGGTTTTTGTTTCAGTCACATCCCAGTGCTGACATGGACCACCAGTCCACCAGTGGTATGCCCTCCTCACCCTGTGGAGTTGTGCGCATGCGCTCTGAGAAGCTCACACCAACACGGACATTGACATCACCTGTATTTGTGGAAGTGTCTCACGGGCTGGTGCCATCTCACATTCCTGGCTGGGAGAGGCACCAAGGGTGGCTTGCCACAGTTTACTCCCTTCTCAGAATCCATGGGGAGGCTCAGTGAAGGTGAAGCTTGGAGATACATCTATCCCATCATGTCATCTATTAACATGACGCATGTGTGTGTGAGACAGTGAGAGCTTTTCTTTCCACCACCCTAGTTCTTCCTTCTGCGTGAGATGGAAAGGTGGAATGCTCTCATCTCTGCCAACAAGAAGGTTTTCTGTATCTGAGGCTGGCTTGGAAATTCTTTAGGTGACATCACACCATGTCTGTGCAGACTCATTGTTTGTCATGGAAAAGCCATTCATCCATACACAACTTCCTTCCTCCCCAGACTCTGGGAGATAAACTTTCCATTCTGTCTATTCCCTACAGAAACAGACACAAAACATGTATGCGTGGCTACGCACACATACACCTCGCCGTCCCTCTGTCACGCTCGGGGCTGTGGAAGGAGGAGAAGGGAGGATATAGATGTGAATAAAGTCACCCTGTTTTCTTCAGACGTGGATCCTGCTGTGCCCAAGCAGTAAAACCCCCCTCCCACCGAGGTTCTGGGTCACACAAGGCTTTTTTGTCCTGAGGCTAATTCTGGCACTTGCAGCCCCACATCTGCCTGCCAGGTGAGATGGGTCACCAGCTGCAGGTACAGCACATCTGGATGGGGGTGGAAGCGAAGCGTGCTGCAAACAAACACAGCAAGTCCACCGTGGCGGGTGCGAGGAATTCCATAAAAAATATACTATACTTCAGTGGTTAGAGGTGCTGAGCCTGGTGATTCATGCCTTGGGTACTGCTTGCTCCTGAAGCAGAGTGAAAGACTGGGTACTTGCGAGTCTTGGACCACATACACTGTGGCCACAACTTGGGGGGGACCCGCACGTTCAGCCTCTGTTTGGGGAGCTGCCGCCGCCGCAGAGGCAGGGTTGGGGGAATGCCAGGCCCGGCGGGGAGGCTGTGTGGGAGAGAAGGTGTTGTCTGTGGTGAAGAGGTGGCGACCGTGGTGTGTAGAGGACAGAACAATGGAAAGCTGTGTAGAGATGCAGGCAGCAGTAGTGGTGTCAAAGGTGTGATGAGGTGGCTGTGAAGGAGGCAGGCTGCGAGGAGTGTTTGGTACAAGTACCCGCACAGGTCCGGGATGCCTGCGTTTGCCTTCTGCCGGTGTCTGGGGTGGGGGGGAAAGGGCTGAGGAGCTGCCAGATTGCCCCCGCCTTTGAGGATCCCGGTGGGTCGAGCGGGGAGGGGAGAGAGGGGTGTTCGGAAAAGAGGAGCCTTTGAAGCTTTTCTCCTGTCCGCCTCCCCTGCCCATAAAGCTATTAGTCTCTGGTGCCAGGCTATCTGCGCTCGCCGCCGGCAGCCCAGCCGTGCCTCGCAGACCCCCTGCCCGGGGCGCGGGGCCGGAGCCATGCCGTGGGGCCCCTTTGGAGGCCGTTTTGGGGAGGGGGCAGCCCATTTCCGAGCCGGCCCTGCATTACAAAGGCGGGCAGCGGGGCCAGCTCTCCGCTTTGATGTGCCCTGCCGGCTCCCCGCACACCTGCGGCCGCGGGGCTCACGGCACGGTCCGGTCCGCCGAGGCACCGGCGGACTGCGGGCGGGCTGCGCCTCCCCTGGCCCCGAAGCTCCCCGTGCCCCTGCCTAACACGACTGTCTGCCCCGGGACGGGACAGGAAGGCTCCATCGGTGGCGGCGCAGCCCCGGCAGCGCGGCCCCTACCCCGGGGCCGAGGGCGGGCGGGAGGCAGGGCCGGGGCCGGAGCCCCCGGGAGGCGGCGGCCGGGGGAGAGAGGGAGGGTCCTGCGGGGGGCGGGAGGGGGCGGCAGCCGGGTTGTGCTCGCCGCGCCCCGCCGCACGCAGGCCCCGCTCCAGGGCTTCTCTTCGGCGCTTCTCCGCAGGGCGCCCCGTCCCGGCTGCCGGCTCTGCGGGGGCTGCCCACCATGACCGGGCCGAGGCTGGCCCTCGCCGCCGCGCTCCTCTGCAGCTGTACTTCGCCGGTGGCCGACGCCAACTCCTGGTGGTAAGTGAGGGCGCGGGGCAGACCTCGGCGCCTTTGTCCGCCGCTGCGGAACGGGGACTGCCCGGGGCCGGGAGGCGGAACGGGAGCGGGAGTTGCCGTGCGCTCCCCGCGGGAACTAACTTCCCTGCCCGCAGGGCTTCTTTCGCAGCAGCTCACTTCTATCCAGGTTCCCCCCTCCCACTGCCCCTGCCCAGTTCCTGGGGACGCAGCACTTCTCTTCCAGGCACTTCTGGGCTCCTTTTGTACGGGCTCGCTGAGGTCCCGAACGGGCTTTAGGATGTGGGGAATGCGTAAGGAGTGGGTGGGTAAGATTTCCTACCCGCTGCCAAAAGCCCCGGGAGCAGCCGCGGAACCTCCTTCTCCTGAAGAGCGGAAAATAGCCTGGCTGAAAGGCAGGCATCGCTGGCTGACGGTCTGTGAAAAAGCAGCAGCTCACTTTCTTCTCCTGCAGAGAAAGTGCTGAGCTTTCTGTCTGCCCCCCTCCCCATCCCGGGTGTCCTCTGTGTTTAAACTCAGGTTACAAACGAGCTGTGTTTCTCCCGCTGGAGCTCTGGAAAAGCCTCGCATCTGGCAGAGCCGTAGCGGGAGGCAGCTGACATGAGAAATGCGCCGGGGCTTTGGGAGCGGAGCGGAGCGGGGCTTGGCTGGCGGGGAAAGGTGCCGGGCGTTCCGCGGAGGGGGCCTCTCCCTCCAGACAAACTCCCTTGGATGTTTTTCTCATCGCAGGTCTTTGGCCATGAACCCTATCCAGAGACCTGAGATGTACATCATTGGCGCGCAGCCGGTGTGCAGCCAGCTGCCGGGGCTCTCCCCTGGGCAGCGCAAGCTCTGCCAGCTCTACCAGGAGCACATGGTGTTCATCGGGGAGGGGGCCCGCAGCGCCATCAAGGAGTGCCAGTACCAGTTTCGGCAGCGGCGGTGGAACTGCAGCACGGTGGACAACACCTCTGTCTTCGGACGGGTCATGAAAATAGGTAGGAGCACCCGGTACCGTGCACAGGCCGGTTTGTCCCTCTATAGCGTTCTACCTTTCTTCAAATACACGTGCAGGAGTGATGAGCTCCGTTAACGCCGCTCCTAAAGCTGCCTTTAAGGAGGTTTTCCATTCCCTGGTGTGCTGGTACTGCCTGCGCCTGGGCAGGTGGCAGTAGTGCACCTGAGCCCAGCAGGAGCTAGCTGGGGAAGCAGGGGACACGCACACTTTCTTTGGGGGGGGGGGGGGAATGAGGGGGTCAGGAAGAGGGAGGCTGCTTTTGTGTTATGTGCTGGTTTAAAGGTAGGGAGGGAAGAAGCTGGAGTCAGTAACAATGGACCCATGTTATCATTTCCCAGCATCTGGAGTGCCCTCAGACAGGGAATGCAGCCCTGAGATGTGGGAAATACGGGCTCTTCTGATGGGGGATCTCCCCCCTTTCTCCCCTGTTCTGCCACTGTCTGTAAACCCCAGAGATTTTCTATAATTCCTGCCCTGCTGGCCGAAAGAGGCGCATTGACAGGCCATTGCTGCACTTGAATTGAGGTGTGACCTAGCTGCATTGTCCCAGCTCCTTTTGAAATGCAATCATCTGATGGCAAGAAACTGAGAAATCCGGGCTTGGTTTGATGTGTCCGACAGGCGGGACAATAAAGAAAAGGTGTTAAAACAGCCACTCACACAAGCGAGCACACACACAAGCTTGCTCTCTCTTCAGGTCCCTTGTGAAGAGTTTTTGTTTCCCACCCACAAAGCTGATCATTTACACTGAAAAACAGGCACTATTTCTTGGTTGTGAGGTCGGGGAAAACACTTAGCAGCTCCTGCACCTCAGTTGCCCCCAGCATTGCTTGCACCTTTTTGGTTTCACTCTCTAAAAAACCCCAGGAGATACAGCTTTAATACCTCTGGGGCATCAAGGTGATAGGACACCAAGGTAACCAAGTCCCGTGATGCCTTCCATTTGATCCTGAAATTCCTATGTGTGATCCTAGAGTACTGTAAGGGATATTTCTGCATGTGTTACTTAACCTTTCAGAATTCCTAATTCAGCCCACCAGAGCCATTCTGATTCCTCCCTTTCTGTCCAGCTCATACCCCAACAAATCCCTGCTTCTCTGGGATACTCCCCTGGGAAATGCTGGTTCCTGACACATACTTTCAGCTCCTGATACAGATCCAAGGCAGCTGCGCATCCTTGATCCCTTGCTTTGCGATAGCAGGGGTGGTGGCCAGATGAGGCTGCTTGCAATCCCATACTGTTAAAATTTGTGCTTTGGGGTATGAAAACTACAATTTCAGCCACCTCCACCTCTCACGTCCCTCTCTGACATGTAACTTATCCCAAAGAATGGGATAAATTTCAGGTTCCCAAATGATCCTAGCAACTCCAGAATGAAATAGAAATATCCCTTTCTGCAGCAAACTTCATCCTCTTCTTCACAACCTTCCTGCAGCTCCAGGTTGGTCCACGCCTGGAGAAAAGAACTAAGCATGAACTAAGAGAAAGCAAAGATCAGAGCTGAAGAATGAAAAGCCATCAGGAAGCATCAGAGGGTGTATGGGAAGAAGGATTAGAGTGAATAGTGGAAGAGGGAAGGTTCTTCCTCCCTAAAGTTAATTTGATCCTGTTAGTTTAGGTTGAGAGTTTAGATTCGGGTTTTTATGAGGAAGGAGCTGTTGTGGGTATGTGATGGTATGTCCAGCAGTCCTGCTGCTGCTGTTTTATTCATGCATGCATTTTGTTCATTAGGAATAATAATACTGTTGTATCTCTGGTGGGAATCTGCTGATGGGAGTGTCTGTGAGGTGACTGCCTGTGGTTGCCTGGTGTTGAAAACATACTCTGACAAAGAGTTTTGAACCCATCTCCTTTAGATTCTCTGGTCAGTTAGAGCATGTTCAGAAGCTGATACTCCAGCGCAAGACAGAAGTAAGAAAACTATAACCAAACGTGGCCGAGGGTATTATGGGGACTATGATGGTTCACCGCTGTTGTCTACATCAGTGATAAGCTCTTGTGGAGGGGGATGCTGCCTCTTTCCTCTTTGTTCCACCTTCCGCTTTTACTTTTTCCTACTTTGTTTCAGCAGATTTGTTTTCCATGCTGGTAAGAGGACAAAGCCTTCCAGTCTCTCAGGTTGTGTCATCTATAAAGTCCTTCTTCCCTGGGTTCATACTGTGTGCCCGTCTCCTGTTTTCAACTTCTGAGCCCCAGTTCTGGACCACGGCCCTTTTTTTGGACTCCGTGCCAATGGCACGAGGAAGGTCTGGAGACCAGAATATCTACAAGAGAGAGTGCAGAGGCATGCCAGAGTGTTGTGGAGAGTGGGGGGGGAGAAAAAAGATAAGAAGGACCCAGAAGGTGTATAGTGTGCCAACAACCTTCAGCTGCCCACCCACCGAAGCAGGCATGGCATATATTACATGATTTCTTGAGCTGCTTTAGATTGCGAGAGGGAGGAGAACCTGTCCTGGCCAAGTCCAAAGCCTGGGAGATCCTCACAAGAGTGTGCACTCAGAAACCTGCAAGATTTGTTTCTTTTCCCCTTTGTAGAACTTGGCTCAGCTCAGAAAAATGGGAGGCCTATGGTTGGTCTGTGTTTAATCATTACACCTTCATTTTGTGCATTTCATCGAGGTGAGGCAGTCCAGTGACACAAAGCTTGTGCAGAGGCATCAGCAGCACTGAAGCAGGCTGCTTTTTAGCCTTGGTCTTTCCTAGTGTTTGTGTGGTCATGAGAATCGCTCTTACCTTTTCAGTGTGGTTTATTCACTTATGATATCTGGCAATGTACAAAAATTACCCTTCTGAAGTTGCTTCTTGTTCTGTCAATACAGATTTTAGACTGCATGTGTGTGGATATGTGTATCTGTGCATTATAAACAGACACATTCCTTACCGCTACATTTATGAGGGAGAGGACGGAGCACCCAAAAAGGTCGTGTTAGAATTTCCTCAGGGGAGGAGAGAATATACCTCCTTCAGTGCAATCCTAAATGCAAGGCTGGGGTTTCCAGGTTAGTCCAGTCATTTCTGCAGCCAGATTTTATCTCTTCTGCCTTTTTAAATGCAAAAAGGAAAAAAAAAAAAAAAAAGAGTCTTTAAAGAACAAAGAAGATTATTTGAATATTTTTCCTTCTTTTTTATTTGAGATTGACAAACTTTGGGGAATGCTTCTTCTTTAAAAAAAAAAAAATCAACTGAAACTAAGAGTTTTTCATCAAAAAAGTGACACATTTTTATCATCTTTGTGTCAGTCTCCCCGCTGGGGTCTGTTCTTACATTTCCTTCTCAAGCAGCTCCAGAAAAGCAAGCTGCGGGGACCAGCACCTCGCCTGGGTATTGCTCACACTGGTACTCGCAATGGTGTCCCCAAAAATTGCCACGGCCCCGCGCTCCCCCCTTGTGCTGCGGGCAGTGCTTGTGGCCGGCAGGCTGAGGAGGGCAGCAGAGCTCCACACCAGCAGGCAGAGCTGAGCCTCCCGGGGCCCCCAGCTTCGGGGTGACCCCAGCTTTTGGCTTGGGAGAGGTGTGGGAGAGGGCAGAAGGGGGGGTGTCCTTTGAGTTGACAGCGCAGAGGTGTGGAACTGGAGCGAACTTTGAGATGATGAGTGAAAACCCAAGTACTTTTACAAAGCTGGCAGAAGAGCAGAGAAACCGGGATGTGCAAGCCCACAGCTGCTAGCTACAAATTTGCTTTGTATTAAGCACAAGGTTTCATGCACAGTCTATCCTGCCCCCCAAACCGAGCTGCAGTTTTCCAAACCTACATCTGATGAGTGCTGTGGTTTGTTCTGCTTTGTGGGCAACAAGGGGTGTAAAAGAAAACAACCCACTGAAACTTCTTTCAGCCTCTCCTATTGCCATCCTCAGCAACTTAAAGAACTCGTGCAGATCCAAGAGCTGCATATTGAGTTGTGCTGCTAAATCTGAAACCTGGAGATGGTTAAAACATGGACAGTAAAAGTGTAAACCAGTCTGTGCTTGCAGGGGTCTCAATTAAGCCGTAAGGATGCTAAGCACCTGTAGTTATGCAGGCTCTGTTGCACCAGCTGTAACACCAGGAGGTCCCTTCATTGTATGTATTTTAACCTGTACAGATGCAGAGAGTGCTGTGCTTAACAGGATGATTGGTGTGTCCATGGGGTTCTCACCATACAGCCACAGAGTGGTAGGGGCAAAACCTGCCCATTGGACTGTTACCTTAAAATACCAATAGCATGTAAAACAAAACAGATGAGTAAAAGCTTTATTTTGGTTGCTGAAAAAAGACCTTAACTCCCTTACGGGCCAGTCTCAGCTGAATTACCTTAACTAGGTGTCACTCCTCTTTACCTCCTGGACCAAGGAGGTTTGGAGGGCACACTCCTCTCCTTATGACCTACTAGTAAGGCCTTCCCTTCTGTATTATGTAGCATTTTATCAGCCTTGTGCTGTGCTCCATAGCAGAAGCCCTTCATTGAAGGGGGGGGGGAAATCACAAGTTGTTCTGCAACGTGGATGCCATTCACAGCCTTGCCTTTGTCTTGGGTCATTACCACTAAGCTGGTGATAAGCTGCTATTAATTACAGATTGTCAGCACATGCAAATTGGAACAAGAGCATACCAAAAGCATCAGCTCAGTCCTGCTGAGGGAGCTGGCACTGAGCGCCTCGTGGGCTGGTGACAAACTGTTCTTGGAGAATCTGCCCTCTGAAGTCATTCAAATTTGCTTGAGAGCATCTTGCTAGGGCTTGTAAGTAGCTTTTCACAATCAGATTTGCTTATTCCAGTGAAGCTTTGGCAGTTGTTCTCTTTATCGCCTGAAAGTTTGGTGATGCCTGCAATGACTCTGAAGCTGTCAGTTTAGCTATCTGTTACACTATGTGGTGATAATGCAGGTGTGGATTGCCTCCTTCTCCTCCTACCCACCTCCACTCACCCCATTCAGACCCACTGCGCTGGTGCAGCACGCTTGGCCTCATGCTGTGTTGGTGCCCCGGTCAAATTGGGGCTGAATCATGGCCAGGAATACATAGCTAGAGACCTGATCCAGCTGCTTGGCTTGCACTCTGAGCTCTATAGAGCATATGCTCCAAGCAGGGCAGTCTCTAATAAACGTGCTAATGGAAAGTCTTTTCATTTATTATTGTCTACATGGGAAATTTTACTTGTTCCAGCACTGCAGCTCTGTAGGCGTTGGAAGAGCCTCTGCCTCGAAGCTTTAGTGTAAAAACGGGTTTCCTTCAGTTTGTCTCAAAACAGTTCTCAGCTGACCTCATGTAAACTAAAATAAGGTCGATGAGCTGAGGAGCCCATAAAGAGTGCTTGTCCCAGTTAAATGAAGTTAATTCCCGAGTGATATCTGGCTTGACCAGAATGCTTCTTTTGCACAGACCCAACCTCATCGGTTGTTTTCAGTGGTTGCAGTGGCTTAGGCAGCAGCTGTATTTTCAGCAAGTGAATAACCGTCTTGCTTGAGAGTTTCCTCTAGGTTAAAACGAGAGGATACTGAAGGGGAAAGAGACTGAGCAGTCCGTGCCTATGGTGTTGGTAATTCTGGAGTTTCCAGGGCTTTTAAATAGGCAAACATAGGTGTAATAAAAACAACCCTTGAGGAGTAGCACCTACAAATTCATGAAGAACATGCTCTTCCCAAGAGCATCCCTCTAGGCAACAGGAGGACTCTCAGACACTTCCCTGGTGTGTGTCAGAGAATCAGATTTGGGTTTGATCCTGGTTGCATAGAAACTGCCAGTTCTGGGCAGTCAAGTTGACTGGAGCTGTTACTATGAAATGAAAACAAAAATGGGATGCAAGCCTGTCTTAGGACCATTCCCCCTCTGCCAGAACAGGGTGCTTGCTCCTTGCTGTGTGTTCTGTTTGTTAAATGAGATCTGTCTCTTGTTAATTTGCTTCTCATGGCTCTCTTGCAGGTAGCCGAGAGACTGCTTTCACCTATGCCGTCAGTGCTGCCGGGGTGGTGAATGCCATCAGCCGGGCTTGCCGTGAAGGAGAGCTCTCCAGCTGTGGCTGCAGTCGGACAGCTCGGCCCAAGGACTTGCCCCGAGACTGGCTGTGGGGCGGCTGCGGGGATAATGTGGAGTATGGATATCGTTTCGCCAAGGAGTTTGTGGACGCCAAGGAGAGGGAGAAAAACTATGTGAGAGGTTCAGAGGAACAGGCTCGCATGCTCATGAACTTGCAGAACAACGAGGCTGGTCGCAGGGTAAGACCAGTGCTGACACTTTCCTCTTCTCAGAGGCAGATTCAGAAGGCTTCAGATAGCTTGAAATTACTCGCAGGGTTGATGAAGATTGTCCAGTGAGATCCCAGTAATGGTGAATGGTCACATTTGTTGCATTTCTGTGAATATTACAGGCAATATTGACAATATTAGATTCCAGTTTTAGTGGTAGGCTTCTGTTGCCAGCTAAAGCCAAGTGAGATGGTGTATGGCATGCAAATGCAGACATGTAACCTGTTTCCAAATAAACTAGGTGCTGTCATGGCCCGCTTTCAAGGTTTACATCTCAGAAACTGGCTTTCCAGACCTGCCAAAGGAACAGGCTGGTGTTGAAAAGGAGAATTTGTTGGCATGTGGAGTTCTCTTCTACTGCTGTCATTCAGAGTTTTGGAATATAAGACCAGAAGCAAGCATCGAATCAGACTACCTGGTATAAGTATCTCTGAAACTTATGCCTTGCTCATTTACCTTGGTACTGAGCAAAATAAGGGATCTGATTCTAGGTGACATTTTCTGAGAAGATAACACAGTTTTGATCTGGAGACCCCTAGGAACGGAGAATCCATCACTTCCTTTGTAGTATGCTACCATTATTAATCACCCTGTTTCTACACTACCTCATTATCATTTGAATTTATCTGGCATTAGCTTCCAATCAGCTTTTTCTGACTTTCACAGCCAGATCCAAAAGCCTCTTAGTAATCAGAATGTCCTCTACATAGAAGTATTTCTCTACTGTAATTTATTCACCACTTTCTTGACAAACTAGATTGAGTGCTGAAGACTCATTTTCAGAGGTTCTCATCAGCCATCAAATCATTTTCACAATACTTTAGCATACCCTTACCAGTTTTCTCATATCCTTTAAGAAACTGGATACCAAAATGACATGCAGGGTTCTGGTATTGGGCTCACTGATGCTGTAAACATAGGTGAAGTTGCCCCCTTTGTTTGTGTCCAGTGTATGCACATTTGTTGTTTACATAATTACTCTGTGATTAATAGCCTGGAAGGTATAGCATCATTTGTATGCGGTACAGCTACGTATTCCTGCCTCTTTCCAAATTCAGAACAGGAATACTTATTTGAACAGTTGTGTCTTTTCACAGGGTATTTAAGATTTTTATCAGTCTTCCCTAGTAGTGAGCTTTTCTGAGGTTAATTTCATTTCTAATGCATGTTAAAAAATCCTGTTAAGTGTACTTAGACTCACTCTTTCGCACGTTCTTAACTGGTATCCTCAGTTTCCTGAAGGTACTTCCCTTTCTTTCTTCTAATTGTTACTCTCTTTCCCATGTGTCTGTGTTTTCCACATGTAATTTTGGCTTCATTTTGCCACCAAGGAAGATTTGCTCTATTTTTTTGATTGTGGAATCAATGTGTCAGGTTGAAGCATTGCAAATACTCTACGCTTCTTTTGTAAAATCAAATGCAGTAAATTTGCAGTAGGTGGAAAACGGTGCAACTGACAGCTGTAGAACTCAGTGGGTTTTGGTTTGAGGGTTTTGTTTTTGTTTGTTTTTTTTTTTGGTTTGGGAGGGCAGAGAGTCCGAATTTCCTTAGAAATGGTGGGGGACATTCCTCCACAGAGTAGTAGCCTGAAAGTGACATTCTTCTCTGCATTACATGCTTTGAACATCTTATATGTCTGGAGTCATGAACTTGGATTACTACATATAAATACCCTGTCTAAAATAGGGAGTGAATATGCTGTGGGATGTTTTACAGGCAGTCCTATTGCCTTGAGGGATCCAGAGACAGAATATGGCCAGTAGTTCGAGGCGCCAGTTGAACTGTAGTAACATCTGTATTAAAAGATCAAGTCTGAAGATACTTGCTCCACAGCATGGGTGAAACACTACCCTGTCTTGTTATTCTTGTTATATGGGCAAGAATAAGAATATCACTGAGCTGTGATTTCAGATGATGATGCTGTTTTAGATGGAAGAAACCTTTGCTCTGTTTAAGGACAGAGCTAAACCCAGCTGTGTCCTGCCTTTACTACAGTGCAGGAAGTTGTTTAAATTATACTTGGAAGGGTACAGTGCCCATGCTGCTCTGGACTCCATAGACAAGCTCTCAAGGCAATTTCTGTCTCCAGTTAATGCACAAACTGGACCTGGACAAAGGCTTTCCAAAGGGGCCAGCAAAAGACAATGTTATTTCAAGTTTGGTTTTCGTAGACTCTGTAGAACAGATGGCTGTAGAAAAGAACCTTAGATTAAATGAACACAAGTCATTTTAGATTAAATTAAATGCAAGTATAAACCAGTGTGTAATTAAGCTTATGGATTTCAAAGAACAAACTCCGATAAACTAAGGGAGCTGGTTAGTAAACTCAGATGGGGAACTTGATGTGGAGGAGGTCTGGAACTTTTTCAAGTCAAAGATGCTAAAGCCATTACAATTCTGCATGCCAAGCAAGAGGAAAAACCTCGTAGGAAGAATATCCAGACCTCACTGAATGAATAACTACCACAGAGAAGCTGTTAGGAACAGACTGAAAGCCGACTAAAAATGGAAAAAAAAAAAAGAACAAAGAACTGATAGCAAATAAATAATGAAAAGCTTTTAGAGGTCAAGAAGTGTAAAGATGAAGTGAGAACAGTAAAAAATCACGCTGAGTCAGACCTTGCAAAGGGCAGTAAAATAAACAGGGAAAGTTTTTAAACTTTGCAAACTGGAAATCGGAAGAAAGGAGACTGCTAGTGAATGAGGATAGGGCGGACTCCAAAGACATAGTCATGTTCAGACAGGTAGAGGAAGAGGAGCTGAGCAGCAAGTACAGAAGGCTGGGGCCATTAGAAATGAAAATGGAAATGATCACCACCTAGCTGGAAGCAAAACTCAGGTTGTGTAAAGCTCTGAAGTGGGCACGGGGAATGCCAGCTTTCTTGCATATCACTCTGAAAGAGCTGGCACCTGGCAGTACAGGCAGAGTGACCTCAGCAGAACTTACAGGAGGACCTCGGGGAAAAGATATCTTGGAGGAAGGGGCAAAATGTGAAGTAATTTGTAGAGGATTCCTCAAAGATTGATCACACAATCGCTTACAACATAACTGATCTCCTAAAAACCAAACGAGATATATTAGATCTCATTTATAAGCACTTCTGTGAGATATTTAATGTATTTCCATGTGGGAAACGCTTGGTTACATTGGGAAAGATAAGGAAATATGCATCAGCTATGAGACAGACAAGAAACTGCTTCAAGGAAAGATGTCAGAAAGTTGTGTGAAAAGATGTACCTTGATTCTTAACAGAGCTTAATTAGCAAGTCTTGAGGGACTTACCTCAAGATCAACACTTGGTATTTTTGTTTCACAGCCTCAACACAAGAATTAGAATGGGCTGAGGAAATTTCCTGATGATGCAAAGGTGCCAGGTATTACAAATACAGAGGAAAATGCAAATTTTGTACAGCAGCTAATGGCATCCAATAAAACAACATGAAGACCATCATTTGAGGTCTTGTATGAAAAACGTTTTTAGTCATTAGGAAATGAGTTGAAAAGAATGGGTCGTAGCAGTCCACTGCAGATGACTCCAGATGTAATGTGGCTCAGAAGGTGGTAAATACCCTGTAATGTACTAGGGAAAGTATTTTTAGAAAACAATGGGGGAATACTAATGCCATTGTATTCAGCTCTTGTGAGGCCCCAAAATATTCTATGTTCTCATATTCCCGAGCAAAATGACCTCAGACTAGAAAAGGCTTGTTATGGTGGACTCAGGGGATACAAATCTTTTCTTAAGAAAGTGGGCTGGAATAGCTTGCCATGTTTAGCCTAGCAAAGTGAAAGTTGAGAGAGGATATGACTGATGTCTGTGTTAGTGGGAGAAATAATAGGGAAGGAAAAGTACTTTTTAAGCAAAGGCCAATTTGGCACAATAGCAAATGGGCATAAAGTGAATACGTTTAGGCTGGGAATTAGAAAAAGATACTTTATCATTAGAATAGTGATCAAAATGATGGTGGCCGAAAACCTAATTGCTTTTAAAACGTCACTCTGTACATTTAAGGAAAATATTATTTGAAGCCGTGCCTACAATAGCAAGAGATCATACTTAAAAAACCGAGGAAGTCCTGTCTGGTGTTGCATTCCTGAACTTCTGAGATTCTGGTTTTGGAAGTAGGAAGGTGCACTTGTAACTCCATACTCCCGCAAGTGAGTGCTGAAAGAAGGGAGTGCTGGAGACACGGCAGTGAGCACTGCTACGTGACCACAAGGTGCCATCCCACGTACAGCCTTCCCCCACTTTCCCAGCCAGTGTTTCAGTTGATGTCTTCTGATTTTTAGGAGGACTTTCGGTGTGTCCTCTCACTCAGTTTCCTGTGGGTGAGAAAGTCCTCCTTGAACCCTGAGGAGCTCTGATGGCAGAAGGTTGTTCCTGCTCTCCATGGTTCTCAGAAGGAGCTGAGAGGAGCAGGAGGGGACCAGAGGTCTTTTATCTTTCAGGAAGTCCTGACCCCATCACCTCTTCACTCCATGTCGGAATCCTTGTTGTGGTGCCTCCTGGCTTTATTGCCCGTGTTTGTTTGTCTTTAGCAGTTATCTCAGTATATCCTTTCCTTCCATCTGTCTTTTTCTTCCAATTGGTCTCCATTACACTCTCTTATTTTCCCCATTCCTTATCTGTCACCCTGTCTGGCAGACTGGCGGTCAGTCGTTCTACACTGTTTACCCATTCAGCATATGGCAGGCCTCAGTCATCAGTCACTCAAGCCAGTGCAGAAGAGCCTGGAAGGGGGTCTGGCTAATCGACCACATAGGAATTCCCCATTAATTCTCTTCCCATTCCCATTATTGGAAGAAAAGAATTGGAGGAGAACTTGGGCTTATGGGAAGGTCCTTTACGCCTTTCCATTAGAGGCATTTTCAACCTGTTTTAAGTGGCATGGCCATCAATCAGACCCTGCCCTCAGAATTGCATGTGGGGTCTGTTATTCTTTACCTTGACCTGTGCCTGATCAGAGAGGAATTCTCCAATTGCCTCTGCTTTCTCCCCATTTGGGCAGCAAAGGGGGAGAGTGGGAGAGCCATTTAGCAGCTGAAGCTATGGTTACCTCCAGGGGACACTGATGGTGGGAGCTGCAGGGGGCTGAGTGGCGCCGTGCTCACCTGCGATGACTGGTAGCATTCGCATTCCCCAGCACTGCTGCTACCCACATGGGCCAGATGTTTTGAGCATCAGTTGCTTAAAGCCAAGTCAGAGTGAGCTCAGTCCCATGACATTAACGGAGGGGGATCGAGTTGCAGTGTTTTTCTAAAGGAACAAAGCCCAGGATTAGGAAGAATTGTAATACTTTATAAAAACACATGCAAGGGCAAGGGAGGCACGAGTAGCCTGGGATTTGACAGAACCGTAACCAAAAAGTGCTAACACAAGCTTATAACAAGCAGGCTGGCAGTGTAGTGAGGATATAGTAAGTGTCTGAGGCTTGGGAAATTCAGCTGTAGCTCTGTCTGGTTACAGTACAGCAGGAATCCTTAAGCAACAGTGTGGTTGGTCCTCTGCAGTTGTAGTTTGATCCAAGACAAGTGCCTAACTCCCAGCCTGTATCTGTTACATTGCGCTGTGAGGGATTGCCTCAGTAAATTGAGCTCCAAGAAGCAGAACTAAAGCTTCTCTGTTTTAAGGACTCACTCCATTGACTTTCTCAGGAGCTGGACTGGCCTCCATGTGATTTAGCCGTTAAGCCAAATTGAATCTTCACTAGCTGTCAAAAGCACTAGATGTTCATTAGGCACAGGAACAACCAGTTGTTGTAGGAGAACTCTGACCTCTCGCTGCTGGTCCAGAACGTAGTCACAGGCGGAAGGTTTCACTTGCAGTATGTTCCATTGCCTTAATCACCTACTCCTTCGCACGTGAATGAAGAGAGCTGAGAAGCTTTCTTCTGAGTTGGTGCATGGGGAAGAAAAGAACCCTCAGTGTCTGGTTGCTTTCTTCAGCAGAAAATCTGGCTGGAGGGAATATTGCTGTCTCCCTCAGAGCATCCCGGGTTTCTCTCATGTTCCTTGATGTCCCCCACCAGAAACAGCTGGTGGAAATTCCTCAGCTGATGCCAGACACCTCTGCTTGGAACATGGGGTCTGGCAGAGGCACTGCCCTGTGGATTTGCATGATCGTAAGGGGAGAGCGGAGGGGAGCCTGATGGCGAGAGCATGAGGAGCAAGGTTGGCCCTTAAGCTGCTGTAGCTCTGATTGTGCAGGGACACCAACTCTTCACGTTGCGAACTGTTGTCAGTGCCGGTGGGTGCTGACAGGACCTCACATAGCCCGCAGTTTTGTACCTGTCTGTGGAATTAATGGACAGAGCAAACCCAGCCTCCATTTCAGTTTGTTTTCCTAGGGTCTGAGCTTTGTAAATCTAGAATATGTTACCATATTTCTCCTCCCAGCTGGTGCAAGGAGGAGGCGAGTAACCACCGTTTTCCTTTACATTGTGTGCTCGCTCTGCTGAGGGCTTAATGCTCGCTGCCAGCATTTCAAGCCTATTTGCTGATTCGGATGCCGGATTTTCAGGGGTATGATGCATCCACAGCCGCCGCAGACTCCCATAAACGTAGCTGGAAGTATGTGGGGAAAGACCGCACCGAAATCTTGCGTTTGCTGTTTGAGATGTCGGCCCTTGTGCGTGGCGGTAGTGCTGCTAGTGCAGAGAAGCCTGTGGACACAAGATGGCGCAGGTTCGCAACGTGTCCCTGGCGGGCCAAGGTGGACGCCGGGTGAGCACCCCCTGGAGCTAAGGTGAGCGACCTCTGCTCCAGGACAGAGGTGTTCGTCTTCCGCACCACCGCCCCTGCTTGCCGCTCTCTGGAAAGCAGCTTCTGGGACAGTGCCCCTGAACGGGCTCCTCTCAGCAGAGATGAAGGGAAAGGGTGTGGGGACGTGGGATTTATCGTGGAAAGATGCAGACGTATCCCTTGGGAGTACAGTGTTGGTTCCTGGTGCAGGCGGTTGGAAATGGGCTGCTTCCCAGGTGTTCCCCTTTCACAGCTCTGAAGGGAAACCCCAAAATAAATGCCACAATAAACACCGCTCTTACTCTATGAGAGTGGGAGAATTTCCAGAGTCCACGTGGAGATAAAGCTTTCTCTTCTTTCCTTCTCTTGACCCTGCTGTTAAGTCAGGGGGAAAAAAGGTGCAGGAGTCATGTTTGGAGGCAGCGTGACCAGAAAGAGAAATATTTAGGGAATAGGAGCGCAGCAGTTGCAGCAGGGGGAAGAGGAGACTTCTGTCTCCTCTGAAGGGCGAAACAACAGAAATTGGGGGATAATGAAAGCAGCTATGGAAACCTGATGACTTCATTGTAATACAGCCAGCTGCCAGTGCAGCAGGAATAGGCACAGCTTTGCCTGACTGCATTTCTTTTCCCACAGGCTGTGTACAAGCTGGCGGACGTGGCCTGCAAGTGCCATGGTGTATCAGGCTCCTGCAGCCTCAAGACCTGCTGGCTGCAGCTGGCTGACTTCCGCAAGGTGGGTGACTTGCTGAAGGAGAAGTACGACAGTGCTGCGGCCATGAGGATCAGCCGCAAGGGCAAGCTGGAGCTGGTGAACAACCGCTTCAACATGCCGACGCAAGAGGACCTGGTCTACGTTGACCCCAGCCCGGACTATTGCCTGCGCAATGAGACCACTGGTTCTCTGGGCACCCAGGGCCGCCTGTGCAACAAGACGTCGGAGGGCATGGATGGGTGTGAGCTGATGTGCTGCGGACGGGGTTATGACCAGTTCAAGAGCGTCCAGGTGGAGCGTTGCCACTGCAAGTTCCATTGGTGCTGTTACGTCAAGTGTAAAAAGTGCACAGAGATTGTCGACCAGTATGTCTGTAAATGAAAGGAGCCACCAAAGCAACAAATCTATATTATATAAATCTATATAAATATATTTTATATTTGTATAAATAAACAGATGATGATAATAATTAAAGAAGCTTATTTAAGAGACATTTTGGTTTTGAAATTTCCCCCATCAGGCCAGCTGGTATGCCATTCCTTCAGTTCTGCTGGGGAGTTTGTCTGTGGGTGCATCTCCCCTTGGATGTTTCAGTCAGGGTGAAGAGGCTGAGGAGGTGCTGAGAAAATGAACTCCCCCCTACGCACAAGCACGCACTGTTTCACTGCAGAAACAAAGCCAGGAAGAAGGAGAAAGGTGGGTTCTTTCTGCTCTGATCAGTAAGTCTTAGCATTTTACATAGTTACTGCACATCTGAAATTACTGCCAGATGTGGGTGAGTCCTAGTTACCTGAGTTTCAAACCCTGCCACTTCATTAAACCCACTGGAGAATTTGGAACCAGTTTTTGATCCCTCTGAGGGCTTTGTCATATGAGAGGGAAGGTTAGGAAAGGCCCCTTTCAAGACATAGAATACAGCTTAAAATCCTGTAAACCATTCCTGGATGCTTCACAGACCACACTGTGGCAGAGGAAGGTTTACAACCTGCTGTTGTTAGGAGGGAAGGTATGACCTGTGGCTGACCAGCATGAACCCAACATCTAGGTCTTCTGTACCAGCTGGGCCAAGGGGAAACCGGTCCAGCTCGGACTACATGGCTATGTGCATGAGGGAGATACTTAATTGTTTTCCTTCTAATCCCATGCTGAAACTGAATTTGCCAATGTAGGGGAGAAGCTGCCAGTGCCCAGGAATGTTTGCAAAGGCAATATACTTTGTATTTTGTCAGCAGAAAGAGGCATTGAATGCACACACATGCACATGACTGCATAAGCACTCCTCACACCACTGCCAGTTTTTTCACTCTTTGAAGTGGATGCAGGTGGTCACCTTGTTCAGCTCTATTAAATCCTCCTCACCACCATCCCAGATGTATAGTTTAACATTAAACACCCCTCATTGACATTTCTTTCCTTCTGTTGCTTGTGTATATGTGTGCTTTTATTTTGTTCTTTTGGTGAGGTGTCTTATTTTGCTGCTCCGTATTTCAGAGTCCAGGGGCCATGCTCTTCCCTGGCATAAGGTAACCACAGATACGTTTGCTCCCAGAATGTGGGCGCATGTTCACCGATGGAAGTATTTTCTGCGTTTTTCCTTGGTAATAAAAGAGCATAATAAAATTGTACTAGGGCAGAAGGCATTACCAAAGTCTGCTAATCAGTCTTACCATGTTGGAATTTTAGTAGAATCTAATTCATAAAGCAGGGAACAAATGCTTTTTCTAGCACAAGACATTTCCTGTGCCTCTCAGCATCTGCAGAGTTCATTTGCAGTCAGAACAATCGAGAGAAGCCAGTTCCCAAAATATAAGGGTTTGCTAATATACATCCCCTTTGTTTCTGACATTCCAAGGGTGTTAGGGTTTCTTCTGTAAATTTTAAAATGCACAAAATATGCCAATAAGCAAAGAGCCAGTTGTGAAGATTATTATTTTTATATTAAACCTCTGTTTCTTATAAAGCATTGCAGTTTTACAGATTCCACCATTTCAACCACCAGAGAAGAATTTATATGTACCTTTCATACTTCAAATATTTGAGGACTCCAGAAAAGCACAAGGAAGAAAAATTATGTTTAATAATTAGGAGCTGTTGTTTTTTTAAACCAATATGTCCAGTTTTTATTTTACTTTTTTTTAATCCAACAGGCAATATATTTGCTGGCATCCCAGAATGCAGTTTCTTGGAATATAAACAGTGGCCTAGATTTATTTTATTATATAAAATCCAAAGCCAGTGGTATTGTAATTCAAAGTAACGGAAATAGTTTTCCATGCATGGAAAAAATGTGAGTGCAATGGCCTGATCCAACTCCCATTAAACTTCAGTGGGAGCTGGACTGAACCCAAGATCGGATCAAATGTGTGAGCTATTCACTCCTGGGATACTATACGTTTCTAGCCCAATAATAAAACTTGCTCTACCTTGGATACATCTAAAAAAGACCTTTCCTCCCACCACCCTCACTTCATGTTCTTGCCCATCCTTATTGCGTCAGTGTTTAGAGGTGTCAGCTATTTGTATATGACACCCTTAGGCATTGTCTAGTAATTCAAAATGATTTCATTTGGCCTTTCTGATAAAGACCACACATTTAAGGGAGTCACAACTCTCCCCACAGTTTGGCTCCATGATTAATTTTGTGGGTGTAAACAACTTTGGGAGCAGAAAAGTTGGCATTGTTAAGGCTACTACTCATCTGGGCGTCCCTGGATATGTTATTCTTTTGCCACCTAAAATGTTGTCTGGATGGAAAAAAGATGATTTTTGGCCTTTTGTCCCAGCACTCCAGACCTCTGGCAGCCGGGTTGAAGCCAGCAGTTCCTATTGGACTGGGACCGTATAGTGATAGGGAGAAGTGACCATTGGATTTCTCCTTCTCCCTCCTCTCCCCTATTTTTTTGTGGGTTTTTTTTTTTTTTCTTTATAAGACCTAGATTTTAGTCTTCTTAGCTTTCTGGGAGTTCTGTATCCAAACATTTGATCCCACTAAACTCTAGCTTAAAACTTAATTTCTGTGGCGCCCACACATAAAAGAACCTCCTTAGGGTGGTAGTAAGTATAAAATAAGAACACAGCTAGATTGGTTTGATGTAAAGCCAAAGAAAGTCAAACAGAAAGCTGTAGCAGAACTACTTCTTTACCATGAAAGCTAAAAAGTAGTGGATTTTGTGTTGTGCCTTGTTAGATGCACAAAGTCATAGAGGGACCCGGGGGGGGGGTGGGGATCTAAGCTTGATTCTGAGCTCTGCTGTTTATCTCCTTTGTAACTTCAGCAAGTTACTTAGTTTCTCTGAATTTTAGCCTCCAGCCTCCTCCTGTATAAAACGAGGAGCAGAATACCTCCTTTTTTTTTTTTGTGAAGCTAGCTCTTTGAGAAATATGTCTGAGGAAAACGTAATTGAAGGCCTACTCTCCATGCTCATTAACTCCGGCAGGCAGACAGCTGTATCCCCATTGTGCAAGGACATGCTTGATTCAGGACAAAGAGGCTCAGCGGCACCTCGGAGGGTCAGATGCTCAGAGGTGGTTGCTCAGGGGCTCAGCAGGAGCCTCGAGGGGGCTGTTGTGGTGAAGCTGTACTCCAGCACAACGCTGGAGGCAAGACTGTTGTACAAAAGAGAGGTGAACTCGGGGCTTGTTTATTTATAGGTATTGAATATCTTGCAGCAAGAGTAAGGTTTAGGGAGCTTGGCCTGGTTTCTGAATGAAATACCTGCTTGCTCAAATTCTGTTTGCAGTTTCATATGGATAAGATATTCACACAATACTCTATTATATAGTGTGTGCTGGTAACTGGCTGCCAGATTCCAACCCTGAAGTCACTGCACTTCAAGGCTGATAGAAATGACCACCCGTAAGTCATGTAAAACTAAAATATTTTGGAGTTAAAGGCACTATGCAAATACACGGTTATTGCAAGTCAGTGAACATCAGCTCCTAAACGGAGCAGAACAGGATGCAAATCTGTCATCATTTTCCAACTGGCTAGTACTACATAAGTTATAACGTGAATGAATGAGGCTTTAGTATGTTCTGCTGCAAAGTAAGCTGAGCTATAGCGATCACAGAACAAACAGAAACTTTCATTTGATATTAATTATGTTAAAAAGAGACTGGCAGGGTTGTGAGAAAATTTAAATGAGCCTTTTAACACCACTGGACTGTAGGCCATTTTGCATCATTTGCAGGCTCCTATTGTTTGTCCCAAAAAGAGATTGTGCCTACTCAGAGCTCAGTGTAACAGAGACTGCTGCCTTTAGCAATTCAGGAAATAGCGAAGTTGAACCAAGACAAGCACTGTGAGTGTAACTTAACTCTTGCTACAGGGACCCAAGTTTTGTAGCCTTGACAAAGCACAAACAAAGCAGATCTTGTTCCATCATGTAAAGTCAAACGTGCAAGGCTCTCCCTCTGCTCACTTGACCCCATCCAGGGAGAATCCTAGGAGGTTTAAATTACACTGTGGGTGCAATTCCTAATCACCTGTGGCTACAGTATTTTCATGAGCTGACACATACACAGGACATCCCAAGGCGACCTTGGGAAATGCCTTCCAGTGACCAAAAGGCGTTTCTCAAGTGTCACAAGGCTTTCCAGAACCAGCTGCTCATAAGGTCGTTCATTTTCATTAAGTTTTTGCTTTACTACATTCCAGGTTACACAGTTTCTAGAAGATACTCTGTGAAATCAAGTTCACTGAAGGGCAAACTCTGAAGGAACTGTCATGACAGTGAGCGGACATGAACATAATATTGGAACCCCTTCTCAAAGGCCAACTCTGGCTATGTCTAATCTGTGGGACCCAGAGATGCATCCCATCTCCTTGGCCCAGATGTGTATCCTGGCCATATCCTGACTCCCTTCCTGCCAGGGCAGTGTGGGCACCAATACCCTGTGTGCAAAGGCTGATGGATGCAGAGGCCATCAAGTGGGTAGCCTGTCCCAGCACCAGCTCTGGTGTAGATAGCTGGTAGATTTGGGACTGGGCCACATAGTGAGCATACCATTATGAAAGTCTAAATATAACCAGCCTCAAAGATAAGCAAAACAGACTTCCATGGCCAACAAGACAGATATCAGAAGGGACAAAAAGAATCATGATCAGCTGTTGTAAATCCCCAAATAACAGTAATAAAAAAACCAAACAGTATAATACAATGATCACAGCATGCACATGCCTGCCATCCATCGATCTTTTCCTGCAGGGTCTGAAGCTGTTACTTGTTTGTTAGCTCTGTTTAAATGACAGTTGAAGTCCTTTTTTGCATTAGGATTCAAAAAGGGATGACCCACTCATAGTATTCCTCAGAGAGTAAAAGGGGGAACAACAAACATTAGGGTTAGGAGCTCTTCTTGTAAGCAGGGATAAAATGCAGCAGCTGTAACATGGAGTACCAAATGTTGCCCTGTGACACCCAAATTGGCTACCTGCCCTAAGTGTCACAGTTAGCTCTCCGTGCTGCTCGCCCAGTGCAACCCTGGTCTGATGGC